TAAAGGATGTACTTAAGAGCTTTCTTTAACAACGCTCTAAAAATTTGAAAATGCTTCTAAAGATTCAAAATAGAAAGATAGCTTGAGGGGCATATGGTGAAACGCAATAGCAGTCAAATAAGGCTACCATTAAACTTATGCGTGGAATACAAATAGGCTTAATACTCAGCAATATGAAAAGGAGAATCAAGTGAAACAAAAGAAGAAAAAAATAAGAAATCGTTTTTGCATTATATCCGAGATTTCATGGAAAGTTAAGCATTTTCGTCACGATATGAACATTCCATATGTATTCCTTAAGTTTTGCAATATGTTAAAATACTTAGAATATTTGAGAAGAAATAACTCAAAATATTATTACAAACAAAAATAAGGAGCATATATCTGTCTTTTGAAATGATACTTGCTTTTAAATATTAGTGCAGTTCTAGCTCCTTTAAGTTTTAAGTTGGAAATTTTTCTAAATATACTTATAAAATACAAATAACAAATAAACATATAGTGAAGCTTAAATTTATGTAGTATTTAATTTTTAACAGAAGTTTGGGGACTAAAACCCGTATTTAGTTTCTAACTTCAGAATGGAAAATTTCAGGGTCTAAATATATTACAAATCAATATTACAAAAGTGATGAAACTTAATTTCAACGCTAAAACTTCATATTGAAGCCAAACTATTATTGAAATATTCTTAAAATTTATTTTTATTTTCAAATAAATGAAAGTATGTTTACAATAAAAAAGAAAAGATAGAAATTTATTAAAATTTCATTTTTTTGTGGTTTTTGTCTTTACCGAAATATCAGTCACATAATTGTTAATCCTCTCCTTAGTTCTACGGGAATACCAAATCAAAATCTAGGTAACTTTTACAGAAGTGCTATGGTAATGATTTTTTTTTTAAATTGACAATAAAATATGGTTCTGGAATATGTGATTCAATTTGGTAAATGTGGTAAAGTATGGTAATTTTAACAAAATATCTTATAGCATTACATAAAACTATTTATGCTGTCAAAATCCTTTTTCAGCTTTGTATTTTTTTTTTTTACTAATTGTGTGGTTATAAGGACTACAACTTTGTAAAACCAGAATAGAAATTCTTGTATACTGCTTCCTTATTAAAATAAAAATTAGCAAATGAATAGTTTAAATACCGTATATTTAGGTTTTATTAAACAGAATTAGGGTTTTTTTTATTCAAAATGTCATTGTCATACAGTGCGGTAGTTTTACCAGATTTTTTTCCGTGTCCTATCTTATTAAATAGAAAAGATGTATTTAAATGCTAAATATCGCTTATGAACTGAAACTAATATTGTTTAAATTAATTACTATTATTAGCGATATTTAATAAAAATAATAATTTAAGTTTCATAGTTTTTAAAAAGAAAAACGAAAACTGATTGTGCCTTTTTTATACCCGCCTAAACAGTATCAAATGCATTTCTAAGGCTAAATTTTAAAATAGAAGGGGTATACTTGGTTAAAAACTTCTTTCCCTTAACGATATACAAGTTGAAAAAACTATCGACATGTTTTAAACACTGAAAAGAGGGCGCAAATTTTCTTGTCTTGCCGGAAGTGAATGAGAAGAAAAAAAGTGATTTTAAATAAAAAATGTAAAGTCGCCAGAGAAAAGTGGAAAAATAAAGGTTAGAAAGTAAAATCAGTATACGAGTAATAATAAACCTCAGTAGCCGAGAGAGAAAAAAAAAGATGAAAAAATGAATAAGAAGACCCACAGTGGCCGAGAAGGTCAAATTAGGGAAAAATGCATATAAGAAAAGACATACTTTTTCTACAGCGTAGTTTTAGTTAATGTTGCAATTTTCAAACCAATATAGAATCCGATGGCGAAGGAATGTGGATGAAACTTTACTTAATACAATATATGGACCATAAGGAAACGAAATCTGTAATTGAAAATAGTAAAAAGCAATAAAATATAAGAGTAAAGCAAAAATTTTAACTTTTAAATATTCTGATATAAGATAAAGTATCGCGAGTTACATTCTTGACTTCCATATTAAATTCATCTTTTCAGTATCATCTAAGGTTCCCTATCAAAGTTCAAAGACGAAAACCTTCGATTACGTTCGATATCTTCATTCTCTTTCAAAGCATGGAAGTTTCTAAAACCATTCTCTTTTCTTTGTGCAGATGCTTGTTTTACAATCCCTTTTCCTTCAAAACATTGTCTCCCAGAAACACACAAAAGACAGCCGTGTTAAAGGAATACGTATGTCTGCTTTGCTTTGTTTGTTTATCAAAGGCAATGCGTCTCATTTGTTTCCGACGTTTCCATAAGAATGATTGAAGCTTTATGTCCTTTAAAGTTAAATAAAGAGCTTTATCTGAAATACAAAGAATATTCGCTGGGTTCCATCAAATAAGAAACATTATCATTCCAAAAAGGAAGTCGTTTCCGAAGACATATGTAAATTAAATTTGATAAACTACAGCAATTTTCGTGTTTTCAGTGTGCTAAAAATATATTAATCATTTTATAATTAATTTTACTGAGTCAAATGCTTATGAGCTATTATTGTTTCTGCAGTTCCAATTGCAACCGAGTCATTAAAATAAATACTTTGTTATTTATCCTTTTTCCGTTTATGCATCAAATATGCATATTTAATTCAAAAAATGAGATTTTTATGAAATAAAAATCTACGTATTAGTGTTTTGAAATAAAATTTGTGCGCTGAACTCTTATAATTTCTGTTTCATTAGAATATATAAATTTTCACTGATATATAGAATCCGTAGCACATTTATTTAATCAACATGACGTTTTATGTTTGCTTTCAGTTCAGTGTCATTTGTAAATTGCTTACATTCGATTCCCTACAGAACCACGGAAGAACCATTTACATCAAATTCTCCTTAGCTTACTTACACTGCAAAAAATTCTGAATCAAATTATAGTAAAAAGTACCGGCACTTTGAGTGCATCATCTGTAAAATCCTTTTACCGTAACGTAAATTTTTATCCTGAAATATTATGATGTAATTACAGTAATATTTATTTAACTAGAGTGATTTATTGATTTTATGATATTTATTGCTGTAAAAATTGCGGTATATCAATTTTTTTTTGTTCCGTAGCATGTTGCAGAAAAAATGGATTTAATGGTGAAAAGTACTGGCACCCTGAGTGCTGGACCATAATTTTATCCGGAACTTTTCACACTGTAAATATTTACTTTGAAGTTCATATACAGATTTTTTTTCCATAATATTAAAATACAAACAAATCATGGCTTGAATTACGCAGTGGGAAAGTAATCATTCATTAGTTTGTTCGCATTTTAGCATTTAGTAAACATTTTTACCAGCATTCGAAACTTTCATGGTTTTCTCTACTTTTACCTGAACTAAATTTCCTTGAAGCTTGAAGTTTTAAAATAGTCTTCAAGGCTAAATTGAAATGTGACAGATTCTCCCGCGTGATAACGTCAACTTACAGCGCTGTTTCCAACACCATATTCTATTCAAATATAGTAATAATATTTTTCAGCTCTTTCCTCAGTAATGACTTGGTGCAGAATGTTTATACAGCGGTGATTGCTACTCTTTCCAGCAGCTCCAAATTGCATTAATACCTTTTTCAATTGCCATCCATGAAAGGATAGCTATGTGTCGAATTGTAAACTATTGTTATTGCAGATTTTTCCCTATAGTTCATACAACTTTTATACTAAATTTTATCCACTACTCTTCCACAATGGATACCATTACAGGGTTATTCGGCAGTATTTTGTTCTTCAGTGTTAAAAAAGCATATTATAAAACTTCTGCATCTATAAACATGCATATTATATAACTGTTCGGTTCGAATAGATAAGACATATTGATTTTTCGAGAAATCTTTCAAAATCTATAAACTGATTTTACTAATTCTAATTAAATTTGTAAAATTCGAGATTAATTTAAAAACAAGTGGGTGATTTTATAAACAATATGCACAGCTCTCCCATCAGGCTCATTTTCTTACTTAATAGCAAGAAGTGAAATTGATTAATGGACAAATTTACGACAAATCGTTCATTATGAAGCAAGGACTAAAAAATGAAGCTTGAATACGTTCACAGTTCTTATTTTTTGTACTGTATATATGCTTCTAAATATTATAAATTTAAGGAAAAAAATTAGAAATTAAAATAAAGTAATATTTGATCCATAACAGCATATTCGAAAAATAAATAGTTGTCTCAGTTTTTAAAATAATTTTATATCCTGAAATTTTTGGCCTTATACTCACAAGCTACTAAACTTAATTTCCTTTGAGTATTTTTTGTAAAGAAATTTTAAAAAAAACGTAATAGTTTCAAGCAAAAAACCGCACAAAAACTATTTTGAATGCGTCTACGGAACGTTTCAAACCAAAATAAGCACAATGTCTAACTATTTTATAAGTATGGTTAAAGCGTTATAAAAAGAATAACAAAATTTTGATTTATTAATAAAATGCAACATTTTTTTAAAAATATTGTTCGGAATTTATTAACGGTTTCTATGAAAGTAAACCATAAATATATGTTCCAAGTTCACATAGCATTGACATCTTTCAAATCATATCTTTAGTTTTTCTGTTGTTTTGTATTAAAAAAACTCACATTATAATACATGGTATATTCAACAAAAACAGATGGTGACAAAAAAACAGCAACCGTGGTTAATTAAAAAATTAGATAAAAAGGAAGAAATGTATTAAAAAGGAAAATCATTCAATAAGATCCCAGGGAATTGTGAAATCCATGGCCACCCTTGAAGATAATCAGTATTCGATCTGATTTCTAAAAGCTTTAGCAATTTATACAATGAATAGAATATAGGCCAAATAGATTTCCTTTTTCTCAGTTACTACTCTGCATTGAGCTACCAGCTATTGAATTTACCCGAAAAAAGATTAATCACGTTTACCCCATAATATATTCTACTTTCACAAATGTATGCAGCATGCAACTGCAGAAATTAAATATATAAAAACTTACCTGCTAGAATTTCACATATATTCAGATGTATTATAAAGTGCAGAAACAGCCACAGAGTAGTCATTATAAAATGAATATTAGTTTTCAAACTCCTTTCACAAACCTGTAAAAAAGAAATTTCATCAACTTTGAACGGAGTTAAAAAAATTTAAGAAATTAAAAAAAATAATTTAATTAAATCTGATATTTTATTAAAGAAATCTTTCTCTGCTGGATAGTGGGTAGAATTCTGAAATGTTTCTGAATGAATTCTGAAATTCCTGAAAAAATATTTAAAGGAATAGCATACTTTTAAAAAGTTCCAAAATAAGTCACGGTATAAAGAATTGGCACTCAGGGTCTCGGTAATATTTTATGGCGAAATTCAGTTTTACCAAGACATGCTATGGGACACTAGCAATGAAATACCGTAATTTTTGCAGCAACAATGATCGTAAAATCTCTGAATCACTCTAATTAAATAAATACTTCGGTGAAAATTACAGAATATTATACAGTAAGACTTACGGCTTAATATTTTTCGTTAAAAATGGTTTTCACGGTAAAATAGACTTTGCGGATGCTGCATCCAAAGTGCCGGAAAGTTTTTACAGTGTAGATGTATTTAATTATCGAGATTCATTTAATTTGACAGCAAACTCAGTATGATAAATTGACACAATTCATATAGAAATATTAAACCTTATTTATGAAATTATCGCTGTACTTCAATCTTAAATTAAATTTTTAAATCATCGCTTTTTGATGAACTCAAATTCTTAATTTTCACTTAAAAAATATAAATTCTTCACTAAACTGATATATGACATGTTTTAAGAAGTATAAGGTTGTTTCTTGATATTATTTTAATTGATAATGTATCTATAAAATAAATTATATATAAATCCTGACTACTTCCTGAATACTTTAGTATTCAGAATACTTTCTCTTTTCAACCACTTGTGAATTGTTCATAGAACTTTTGAAAATGTTTTTCTTTTGTTTTAAACAATAAAATATTTACGAACGAAAAATTAATAATTAAATCAAATAGAAAATTAAAATTGGAAAGTTGTGAAAGGAAACCAAATTAAAATATCTAACTTTAAATAAATAAATATTTCATTCTACCGCCGTTTCTTCTCTCCAACTGTTAACAAAAAGGTAATTAATGTTCAACTTTAGATTGTCTAAATAATTAAACGCAATCAAAAACTATGCTGCTTCGAAGCCTCTATTATTTAAAGAGCATAATGGGATAACATGTTAAATTATACATCAGTGAGTTTTAAAGAAATGAGCGTTAAAATGTGCGGGGTGAATAATTCTATAGAATCAAAAGCTGAAGGCGTTATCATAAAATCGATTAACAAAAACTCAGTTTCTTTACATGATTTCATTTTTATGCACCTATATTTTACTTAAGCAAAGTTTATATTATTTTCCTTATATTAATGTAGAGTTACCGTCAAAATTAAGGGAACTAATACTGAAATGTTTCGAATTTACAGATATACATAGAAACAATAGGTGAAAGCATTCCAAAGATCCTAGTCGTATATACTTATTTATACAGTTTTCTTTTTCAGTTTCCTTACTTTATCCTCATTCATTTGTACAATTGTGTTGTTAAATTACGACTTTGTAAAAATTTTATTTCTCTGAAACTATTCGAACAGTATCATTAAATTTTGTAACTTTGCCATATAAAGTTACATTCCCTGAACTGAAGAAGAAATTTGAATAATTTAGGATTCAAAAAATTTACGGCTGTTATTAAATATAATCATTAATATAAAAATGTATTATTAAAAATAATTTTTGAATGGAATTATCTTTAGATAATTTTTGCTCATTTCACCCAAAAATTTCTCAAGAAAAAGAGAAATGCAGAAAGAAAAAATAACATTAAGGGGTCCACTTTCGACAGCTCTCCTGACTAAACTATTACATGAAAAATAATCTTCGAATGGAATTATTTTTAGATACTTTTGCTCATTTCGCCCAAAATTTTCTGAAGAAAAAGAGAAATGTAAAAAAAAAAGTAAAATAACATTAAGGGGTCCCCTTTCGACAGCTCTCTTGACTAAACTATTTACCTATATTTCCCAGATTGTAGGTACCCCTTTGTACTTTGAGGGTTAGGAATCCAAATCCGACACAGAAAGTTATATGCGTCTGATTTTGTAGCTTTCTTTAAATATCGAATGCTAAAATTGATTTGCATGTCTAAGGTTCTCCTTTCTAATCCTTATAGCTGTGCTCTGGTGCTTGAAAATCTAATGTTTAGATCCTAAGTAACTCAAGGTAGTTCGGGTTTTTTTGTGCTCTGTGCATTGAATTTATCCGTAAAAATACAATCGTGTTGCTGCTAGATTAACTATATTCAGTTTCATCAGACATAATGCTGATTATCGAGGTCAACCAAATATAAAATCAAAAATTATCGTAATCTACAATTTACATTGGTACTTATTTCTTTCGTTGGTCCATACGAAACTTGCTTTCACAGTACCTATAGCGCACAGTACTTATATCTTGGTATCAATATTAGTGCAATAGGTACATACTAAAACAACCAAATGACATAAAAAAAGTAGTACCCAATACCAAAATTATTTAAGAATCATTCGCATCAATAACAGTGCGAAATTTTTTAATGGCTTCGATAAGCGAAAATTTACTTTTCTCAATTAATTTCGCTTATCACAAACAGATTATATTTTAGATTTTCTTGAATTTTAAATTTGCTCCTACTATGAAAATTACTTTATTTAAATTCTCGAAAGTAATTAGTAACGACGCTAATATTTTTATAATCTTTTTTGGCAAACTAAGGGCAAACTAATCGCCATACTGACATTGACACAGGTGCTTTTTATCCAATTGCGGTATAAAATAAAATAATATTGGTATTGAGAACTTACAATCTGAATAGTGGATCCCAATATAAATGTGTAAGTATTATGGTAATAGGTGCTTTACCGCTCTCCTAAATGGTTAAGTACCCTAATATTTTCCATACTACGCATTTATTTATTTGTTATTCGTCGAATAATCTGTTGCAGTTACATACAATTAGACTTACCGTAATATAAGTAAGAAATTCCGCTCACCAAAAGAACGATTATTACATACAGTATCACTGAATCAATGATACTCAGAATTTAAAGCAATTTTCCCATAGCTGATTAGATAACAATTTTATTATATTAGTTCTTGTGAAGTTACCATTAGTTAAATATAATCAATACAATGATTTTATCAATATAGGAAACGTGGTTTCGAATACCTTTCAAAATATGAATTTGGTGACGTCATCACCATACTTCGCGAAATAATTAATGTTGACTTTACTGTGGATAACCTAACATAGTGAATCGGAGATACATAATTTTAAAAAAAAGTGACATAAACTAGGTCTTGAATAATTACAGCAGCAAGCTAGAAATTCGCTCATATAATAAAATTTTAATGGAAAACTTTTTCTTTGATAAGTAGCGCGTGAATTGGATGTTGAAAGGGTGAGATTTTTAATGTAAACTATGTACGTATTAGAACATATGTACTCCAAATTTAGTGATAGTTGGAATTTCTGATTTTTATTCGGTACATGTTTATTACTTACGGTATGCGCATGCGGTACATAACATACACATACACGTAAACATTCTTTTTCATTTATATAGATTTAGAGTTATGAGTATCAGTTAACAAATCATTTTTTTAAGATAAAAACTTCACAACGCTCAGAAATATCGAACGATATAGCTATCTAAAAACTACACTAAATGCATTTTTTCTAAACCAATTTCCTTGCCGAAACACTCAATTAAACAAATTGCATTGAAAAACGAATCAAATAAAGTTTTTAATGTTAAATTTAACTTTTTGAAGACAACTCAAAAGCAATTAAATTTTGCAATTTATTCTCTTTTAAGTTCTCAAAAGCAAAAGGGAATATAATATTAAAAATGAAAAAAAATCTTATTTGCATATTCAGCATTCGTGTTATTACTTAAACCGAATAGTTAATAGTAATATGATTTTTCATATTTAACTAATGCTTGGTGAGGACAATGCCTCGGGAAAAATAAATGAATTTATTTAAGTTTTCGCACTAAGGCTTATTGTATAAGCTTATGAACTTTAAAAAAAATGCGCTAATTACAAATGAGAACCCTAAAGACTTTTTATGTTGTCTGAAATGAGAGCAATTTTTTCTCGCTTTGTGTAACTGCCTCCGCTACAATAATGACTTTAAAAACACATTTCTCTTGTCAATGTTTTGTATGATGCTCATAATGCTTCACATATTCTTAATTGCGATTTATTATTTGTTTGTACACCGAAAATAAAAGTCGCATTAAATATGCGTAAAAAATAGCTTCCTGCCTAATAACGAACACGGTATTCAGTAATGCAGTGGCATCGGGCTTCAACTAATTGAAAAATCGATGAAAAAATATTTAGATAAGAATTTTTTTTTAATGGAGGGGTATTTTTTCCAGCTTCAATACCGTCGTTATTGCATAAAGTAACTGAAACATTTTAGTGATCGTTATGGATATTTTACGGAAAAAAACTGAACAAACTGAATGAATTATATGACTTTCAAAAAATCGCTTCACCGCTCTATCTGCCTTGATTAACCGAGATACTCTCATTTTGCTTCCCTTTTATTTTGCTAGAAGCAGAAGCATTCGGTCGATTATGACGCGGGTTCTTCTGCTATTTTTTGCGAAAATACCCACTTTTTTTGCTTCTTTGATAAAATGTTTCAGCATGGAAAGCGATAACGCTTTTATCGGATTTTTTTCGAAGAGCTTTTTGATCTTTTTCTTTCATGTAGGCTAAAATCCGTTTTGATTTTACAATCAATCTATTGCAAGTACATGCTTTAAGCAGTATCTGCATGTATGTTAGGTACAAAAGAATTTTGGCAGTGATTTACTAAAGAGCTGATAAATAAGAAATTTAAAACTCTTTATAGTAAAGGAAGAAAAAAGCTAAATTACAATCTTGTTTTTCCAGTTTTTAAATTTGTTTTCGGAAAAGGAAAAAGATTAGCCTGTTATAATATGCCAATATAACACAAAAGTGAAGCTTTTACGTGTT